CAAAGGAAAACAACGGATGTAAAAGGGTATTTAAATAAGGCCATAACATGAGTGAGTTAGAATTTTTCAGACAGAGATGCAACTGGGGGTCTCCTGAAAGTTCTCCTTTGTTGTCGACAATAAAGTATATTCTTCTGATATTCATAACCTCCAGACTGAGTTTGATTTAGTAAGAGAAAAACCAAGAAAACCACCACAACACTAACAAAGAAAAAAAAAAAAAAAACAGGTAATCCTCATATTGCACTATAAACACAAAATTTAACTGTTTTAAATTGTGAATAAAAATATGTACTGGGATTGTTCCCCAAAAATTAAATTTCCTTCCATTTTTGCAAAATTTAACGTGTTTCTTTATTCTGTTAAACAGATATTTTAAAGACAGTTGAAAACCTGTAACTACTGATTTTGGTTTGATGATGGTTTCCAGCTTTCTTTTAAGCATCTCCTTTAGTGCTCAACAGAATAAAGAAGCTTATAAAGGTTTGAAGCACATGGAGGATGAGTGAAGATGCAGGCATCTTCTGTATAAAAACAATTGCCAGAATAATTGGTGCTTCATTTCACTGTGGTGACCACTAATAAGCTAAGGGAAAGTGACTGAGTGAGAACTTTAATTTGTGAGGGAACTTTACCCTTAAACAAGCGGTTCCCACTTCTGGTCCTTGGGTCCCCCTGCCCTGCACATTCCTCTTATTTGACATACAATGATCAGTTGATGGATCTCTTTGTTAAAGAGCTGATGATCTGAATCAGGTGTGTTTAAGTAAGACATACAGAATGTGCAAAGTGGGGGTCCAGAGAAACCAGAATTGAGAAGCACTGATTTAACTGAAGTTGTGCCTTAGACCAGGTCACTGAGTCTGGTGTGGTAAAAAAACACACCAACTGGTCATTATGTGGTGAGTAAGAAGACAGGGTCAGCAGTTGGTTCTTGTGCTAGTACGCTTTATTTATCTCACAATTAAATGAAGAAACTGTTGGGGATGAAGGTTAACATTCATTTATTTTCTTTTCGGCTCAGTGCCTTTATTAATCTAGGGTCGCCACAGCGGAATGAACCGCCAACTTATCCAGCATATGTTTTATGCAGCAGATGCCCTTCCAGCTGCAACCCATCACTGGGAAACATCCATACACACTCATTCACACACACTACAGACAATTTAGCTTAACGCAATTCACCTATACCAAATGTTTGTCGACTTGTGGGGAAAACCGAAGCACGCAGAGAAAACCCACACCAACATGAGGAGAACATGCAAACTCCACAAAGAAACGCGAACTGATCGAGCGGGGCTTAAATCAGTGACCTTCTTGCTGTGAGGTGATTGTGCTACCCACTTTGTTTCTGTATTGTAAGTTTTTCTTCAGTGTTGACAGAAGAGAATAAGCCAGCTTGGAGTCTTTATCTATAGCAAATTATGATTAAACAAGCACTAAATGTCAGCCTCGGACAGAAAACAGAGAGAGTTCAGTTCAAAATCAGGAGTTTTATTTTCAAAAGGATGAAATAAGGCAGCTGCCGATCCTCGACCACCCATGGGAGAACGCAGACTGGAGAGAGAAACTGGTAATCTGCCTCAGCTCCCTCAGAGCGGAGCGAGGGCTGTAGCTGGTAAGCGCAGGTGAGGAGCTGGGGATCAGCCGCTAGGAGACTGCGCAGATCACAGGTAAGCAAAAGCGATAAATGGGTGATCAAAGTTACCAGACTGGACTAGACTAGACTGGATAAAATGTAAAGTTCACTAGAAACCAAGAGAAGGTCCATAGGTTTTAATTAACACAATAAACCGACCAAGAATAACAAGGGGCAGGTATATACGTATGGAGAGAAAAATAGACTCAAATTGAAAAAGGTGAGTAATGCTTGCGCACCAGCGCTGATTAAAAGGAAAAACAGCTTAAGTTAACAAGACAGAAAATTAAATCAAACCTGACTCGTGACACTAAAACAATAGAAAACAATAGTACAGCTAACACAAAGTTAAGCAATGCTTTTCCTCCACTCTCTTCTCCTGTGTCCTTTACACAGCAAAATATGGGGACCCAAAACAACTCTATGGGTGTTAATTTCAACCCTTTGAAAGTGTCTCATGGGGTCCACTCAAAACAGAGTTAAATCAACACTTTCAAAAGGGTTGGCACATTGACACCGAAGTAAGGGTTAATTTTAACTCTGGGCAGAGTTAAAATATGTACCTATATTTAACACCCCCTGGTGTAATATATTGTTATTTTATTCAACTCTTTTGATTGTAAATATGGTAAAAAGGTCAAATAGACTGTAAATTACAAAAGAAAAAACATTTTATTTGAAAACATTCACCACTTCAACAATTCATTCAGTTTTTAAAACTGGAGCTAGGAAATCTCATCAAGCATGTCCTGTGAATGAAGTGCTTCCCAGCCACAGGATGACCTTTCTATCCATGACAATCGCTCGTCTGGTGGTTCCTGATGCACGGATATAGGGTGATGCTCATCTAAGAACTCTTCAAGACTCCAGCATGACTAAGAAAAATGTTTGAAAACAAATTGCAATCAAATTCTATGATATATTTAAAAGAACATTTAAAGTAAATGAAACATTCAAGAAATCAAAACTCACCTTTTGAAAATCTTCATGTTGATCCACAACTTGACTCTCCCTGCTGGTTGAGGTGACAGGATATGGAAAAGTAGAAAAAAACACATATATCACTGTTGGATCTCCAAAAACAATTAGGTTAACCACTATGGCTAGAACTGGAAAAACAGGCAGCTGTCTGTCCAGAATCCTGAATTTAACACAACACTTGGAGCAAAATTTAGAGGAGCTTAAAATCTTTTATATCATTTAGTGATGCTGACTTCCCCAAAATATTGGCCACAGTGTAAAAAATATTCATAAACTTACAGTTTTATGTAAGCGTGTGCGTGCATGTGTGTGTGCGTGTGTGTGTGTGTGTGTGCGTGCGTGTTTCTTTACCAGATTCAACTTGTTAGGCCCTTTCAGGTCCAGTATTGACGCCACCTTTCCTGGAGTCTAGCAGATGTTTCAGGTCCAAATATAATCTAAAATATTAGGATAAGCAGAAGAGGAAAAGTGCAAAGCAGAGCAAAACATTATTTAAGTAACAGTTCACCCACAATACAAAACTTATCACCTTCATGTCATTTGTTATTCTCTAATGCTCTAATACCCTCTTAGCTTATTGTAAAACAAATACAGAACTTTATCAAACATACCTTCATTAGTATCACCACATATGACCAAGAAGGTGTGCTTGGTCATTTCACCAACTCTGGAAATACACCATCCGTCTCTAATCAGCCAATCGTCACAGGGTCTTGTGTTATTGTATAGAGAACTGTGGCTGTTAAAAAACAACAACACATTAGTATCAAACACATACGCATAACCTTCAGATAAAAAAGAGAGATAAACATCACAAAGTATGCCTCACACTTTTTCAGATATCTTTTGATTCAGATGTTGATTATTGATAATAAATCTACAAATGAAACCTGTATCATCATTAGGCTGCTCAAATATGAATCAGTTGATTAATTTTACAGACAGGTGGCTGTTTACAACGCACTAAATTGTCTTTAATAAAACGGAAATGTTGTGTACAGTACATGCTAAGTTTAGCCTATAGTTTTAAGCACAATATCATGTGGGAGAAAAAGCTTGACTAAGATGTTCCTGACTACAGAGATAGCCTAACTTACTAACGTCAGACATCCCGAGTTAGGAAAAGTCATTTTCGGGGGATACAGAGTTGATTTGCGGGAGGTAGCGGGAGAGATGAGTTGCGCGCGACGCACCTAAAGAGCGGTGGGGGTGACTTGCGCGCGACGTACCTGAAGAGCTGGGAGGGATGCGGTGGAGAGGGGTGTGCAAAGTGTTTAATGACCGGGCGGGAGACGCGCGATTTCCAGGAGATTATCATTCATTTGCGGGCATCTACTTGGGCATCTGAGAGTCTCTGTGCATTTGCGGGATAACGTTAACGTTAGTCCCACAACTTCCGGGAGACTTCTGTAACGTCAAATGTCTGATAAAGTGCAAACGCGGTCATTTAAAGACATTAATGTTAACATTCCGACTTTAATGGTTGTCAACACTTAACGTTAATATAATTCAAGCGTAACTGTTACGTTATCACACGAGTCTATGGACTAACGGTAAGGTTATATGGACGGCCACGAATGAACCAGTTTAAAAGGGCCGCGGTGTTTAAAATAACCAAATTAACGTACACGAATAACAAACAATCATATGTTTCAGTCAGGAAGCCTTTTACAAGTAAGCATGTTCATTGTTCATGTTCATGTTCCAGATATGTTTTAGAAACTCTCCAGAGCTCATGGAAACCGTCCTGTGTTGCCGTTAGCATCCGGGCAGAGTAGGCTAGGCGCTCCGGGGATTCCCTCGCTAGTTTGCTTCGAATTAAAGGAGAAGTGTCGATTTTATTTTACAGATGGGTAACAACGCACAAAATGGCATTAAGCGTGACAGAAATGTGTTGAACATGTACATTTGATGTTTTTATGCACTATGTATGCGTGAGCATATATAAAAACATTCTTGAAAAGAAGTCAATAGTAATGCAGTTAAGCTAGATACACAAACGACCATGAATGAACCGCAGAAGTTTAAAATTGTCACTCCATTCTAAAGTTATTAACTTAACAATATGTTTACAACTGTATTTCCTTAAAGAAAGTCAGTAAAATACCAACATTTAGGTAGTTTGACTCACCAGTTGCTGTTCTAAACCTCAGATGGAAAATGGCGTCTGGAAAATTCTTCAGAGACTGGGGCTCCATGAATTCCCGGATGTTGGAAATAACACCACCAAGTGTTGAAAAGATAACTCCTTGATTTCGCACTGAATAAAATCAATTTTAACTCTTATTATATTCATTTATCAAAATCTAACTCTTTAACGTCAACACTTTACTCTGAAATGCTTCAACACCGAGAATTTAACTCTGATGAATTTGCTGTGTACTTGGTTTTCTGGTGGAGTGGGTCTTGATTCTACAACACAAAAGCACAGAAAAAAAAAATTGGTCAAACACTCATTCAGATGGCATACAAACTTTTTAAATTAAAATCATGCTCTATTCAGCTTCATTTTCATACCGTTGACAGTCAACTGGACAGTCTCTTTAAAATTTTTGGAGCATGTGATGAAGCAGGTGTACATTCCTTCATCACTATACTGAAGCTTGTTGATTTTGATTGAGCTGTTTCCTGAGTTGTACTGTTCAGAGAAGGACTCGACCCTGTTCTTGTAGTGCTGGTCCTGATTTTGTACCAAATCTTCACCTTTAATTATTTCCCACACAATCTCACAATCATTATGTCTCCAATGGATATTAATATCTTGAAGTTGAAGATTGTGTTTAGTGGAAGAAACTTCAGGAGCACAGAACTGCCAATAACTCTACTGACAGTGTAACGGTCGGGTCTTGAACCCAGGTCTCTGGTTTGGAAACTGGTGTGCATACTACTAAGCCACAGGGGCAGTTGTGTTGGCCACAAATAAAAACACTCCAAGAGGGAATTGTGGTGGTTTTCTTGGTTTTTCTCTTACTAAATCAAACTCAGTCTGGAGGTTATGAATATCAGAAGAATATACTTTATTGTCGACAACAAAGGAGAACTTTCAGGAGACCCCCAGTTGCATCTCTGTCTGAAAAATTCTAACTCACTCATGTTATGGCCTTATTTAAATACCCTTTTACAACCGTTGTTTTCCTTTGTTCTCCATATATTACACAAATTCCACCTAGGTTAACCCCTGACCTCAATTTCCACCTAGGTTAACCCCTGACCCAAACCTGGTAACTATATAACTTATCCAGTTCTTGTGATATGGTAATTCTTCTAATGGTATGCAAGTCTACAAGCAGATTATATACATACACTTTGAATATATATATTAACTTCACACTTTAAAGAGTATAAAATCCACCTCATATAATCCCTCCTCTTAAGACTTTAAGTCTTAATAGTCTTGCTTTTGGCCCATAGTGCAACTCTATGATCTAGCCCTCAGCCATATTACCTAATGACAAATATATGTCACAGTATTATTACAAATGACCAAATCATGTAATTGCACTTTGGAATAGAATCACGCCAAACCTCTGTGTCCTGTTTTGACGAGGACACAGTAAAAGACTTGATTCTATTTTGTTGATATCATAAAAAGTAGTATTTTAAGCATACAATTAGTTATCTATTTGCTTCTGGTGGTCATGATTATTTAACATACAGTAAAGAATAAACCTAAAACAAAAAATAAACATGCATAATCTCCCAATCTAGGGTCACAACACAATATTCTAATCTAACACCCACAAAACATAATCAGTAGAATACGTTGATCTTCAGCCCAGATACTTTGCGTATCGTAGAGAGCCGCCGTTTTGGGGTAGAGGTTACTAGCACTTAACACCCAAGGCATGGATCCTCTTCATCATCCTCTTCTTTATCTAAACTATAAAAATTTTTAGCACTAGTTCATCTTTTTGACCCTAAATCTGGCACATACTTGCGAGCATTCTTTGTTTCGTTCTGGCCTTAAAAAATGTTGATAGAGACTTTATGTTGAGAGTCTATAACCTGAAGTTGTGGTGATTATGATCAATTGAACTTGTGGCACCTTCTGTATATTTCACTCAGGTATATAATCAGAATTACTCTTTTAACTGTTCTGATGAACTCCTTCTGCCACACTTTGCAATTCGTTGAGCTTCAAGATTTTCTGCCTCCTCTGTTTCCCGTTAGCTTTCTCTTGCTGGAGCTTTTTCCTTTGGCTGTCTTGTGCTGTGGTCCAGATGGTATCCAGTTGATGGCATACCCTTTGGTAACCTTGGCATAAGGTCCATTTCTCCTGATTTCACTCCACTCTCTCCAGAACACCTCAGATATACTCGATCACCAGATTAATCTCCTGCTTCTGGTCCTTTCTGGTTTCCTGTACAGATATTGCTTTGCACATGGCAGTTAGTTTCCTCATAAATGACCAAACTTCTTTCCAATGCATTAGAAATGTTCTCCAAACATTCCAGAAGGTTAAATACGAGATTACATGCAAGGGTCGACCCAATAGTATTTCATGCAATGTTAGTTGCTTGTTTCTGTCAGTTTTCATGCAATCACTTATTAATGCAAAAGGTATATTATTTTAACACATCTTGTTAAACTAGGCCTTGAAGGATCATCTTCAGCTCTTTCAATCATTCCTTACAATTATGTGTAATTGCTCAATTTTCGTGATTTCCAATTCTTTATCAATATATTTAATTATTTATTCACTGAATCACATATCCACTTATTTATCTACTTAATTACCTTTATTTACTTTATTTAACTTTAATTACTCTAATTTATTTATAACTACAGACACATTATTTGAACTTTCTTCAGAAGTTATTCCAAATCTGAGACTTCTCTTATCTTAAATGTCCTTCTTCCCTGCTCTGCTGATGGAATTACCTTCACTCATCTACCACAACTGTTATTTCCAAAAACTTGTATCTCTTGCCCTAAGCTAATTTTATCATTTCACAACATCTACAATGAAGTTCTTGAATAATCCATTAGACCTATTGCTGATCTTTTACTCACATTCTACTTTGCACAGATGTCATATGTGTACAACAATTCACCAATCACTGCATTCAAAAAGGAGATTATTATCCTTGCTGCTTAATCTTCCTTACCACTTCACCCTTGATTCTAACCATGTACATCGCCAATGACAATATCTAGAAATGCTGTTGCCTCAACAATCTGTACTTTGTATGTATTACATAAATCTTATTTGTCTTTTTCGTTCACCTCTAATGCTACATATGTTCATAAAGACTAGTACGTTGTTTATTTGTACTATAATCTAATTAAGGTTGTGACTCTATACTATTGTTAGACCTGCTACCCTATTTTCTTTAATGAAAAATCAATTTTCTTATTTATCATCTTATCAGTTATTATTGCATCTAGAATAGATACAGAATCTTGTTAACACTAAACCAATCATCCCTAAAAAAATTTATTTATGTCTTTTACTTAGCTTGAACTAGATGTACCTGCAGATAACTAAATTCTACACGTCTTTTTACTTTAAGTGTAACCAAGTGTCTACCCTCCTCTGATAATTAACTGAACAGAAATCAATTACTTTAACATATTTGGCATCCAAACTAACAAATTTAAGTACAGTGCGTGTTAGGAACCTCTGCTAAGAAATTCTCTATCACTGACTGTTCTTAAACCATAAATTTTACAACATCTATTTTTGTCTGCTTTGACTAATGCCATAATCAAAATTTAAATTCAATTCAAATTCAAATGGAATCCATTTTATTCGTCACCTACAAAATCACAACTGAATTGAAATTGACTTTACTTAGAAATGCCATAACATATCTAAATGTTTCTATTATTGCTATGTTCTCAAAAATTTCAATAACGCCTATTCCAGCATATAACAGACCTGCATGTGGTTTAATTTTAATTAATCCTCCCTATGCTGGTTAATTTTGTTTTCCCTTAATGTCCTGAACTCATAATAATTATTAAAACTTGACACCTAAGTAATTTCTTATTTCTGAGCTATTTCTTATTTTGCATTTTCTATTAATTAACATTTTTCACTTTTCAGCATTTTCAGCTCCTAATTCCTTCCTGTTCTCACATCAAACTGGTTATTCATAAACTTTTTGTTGTAATTTTCTACAAGTTGACTGAAAAATCACTGGATTTCTTTATAGGTTCCTCTCTATCTGATCTGATTTTTCTCCTTTAGTCCTTAATTCTTTTTTGCTTTTAATTATTTCTTCACATTTGTAAAACAATGTGTTTTCTGTTTTTAAACACTTTTCTCTTTCACATATTATTTTAGTACATTTAGAATTGTTACTTTTTGGCTTATTCAGTACTGTGAGTTCATTTTACTTTTTTGTGTTTCTATTTCTTCTTTAAATCACTTTTCTGTCTTAATCTCTGACATAATTTTTCTCCCAAATCTAAGTTTAGTTTACTCAAAATAAGTTTTCCCTAATTTTAACTTAAATATTTAACTCCATCAACTTCTAACCCAAATTATTATTATTATTATTATTATTTTCAGTCATCAAAAACTGTCTTTTATTATCTTTTTTTATCACCACCATGCATTATAATTTATCCTCTTATGTTCAATAATCTCTATGAGTTAACCTATGAAAATGAACCAAAATAATTTAACATTCTTCATAATTTATCATTTCAACATAACACATTTAAAGTTTCATTGTACATTATCATCTAAGACTTTTCTTCCACTTTACATGATACTTTTCTTTTTATCAAATTGACAGGAGTCTGATTTGATACAAGAATGGGTAGCTACACTTTTGCTCTTATTTTGCCCTCTGAGTGGTCACATTGTACTCAATTTGGACTATAGGTCGACTGCTTTGAGATGGACTGCCAGACTCCCCCTCCTCACACCCTGAGAAGACAACTGGTTCATAGATTGGTGTAGTCTTTTCTGTGGTGTCCATATCAGGGCACAGTGTTTCCCCCTTCTCTCTTAGTGCTGGCTTCTTTTCTTTTGTTGAGCTGATGTAAAGTTCTGGTGGAGCGCTTTTTCTCTTTGATCAGTTCATCATTAGCTTGTTTGCCTCTTTTTAGTGTCTCTGAACATAAGTAGCCTTTCCAGTCCTCAGTAATTTCTGGGCATGCAGTGCCTGCTTCACTGCTTTCACAAATGTCCACAGCCAACAGTTTGTCCATTGTGTTTTTCAAACACCTTTTCCATTTGCCAGTGCACTCAGAGATGTCTGGTAGATAAGAGACCACAGTCCCCCAAAGTCCATCCCTATGTCCTCTTAAGTAATATATGGAATTTAGCTCATAAAAGTCTTTCCTTCTTTCCCATTTTTTTTTTCATCAAATGAAGACTCCTCTCATCTATTTTCTCCTCTTTACGGTTTAACAGTTTATTTTTCTCTAATTCACAATCATTTTATCATATGTAAATGTTTAATTTTCTATTTCTTCAGTGTTCTTCTAAATAATTTCTTTAGCTTCAGATTATGCTTTACTTTACATTTCTCCTCATCTATGCTAGTGTTCCTTTACTAACCGGTCATTTTTACATCGAATTTTAGTTTCCCTAACATTTTCTATTTTCTCACTGCTTGCATCAAATGTTTCTTCTGTTTGCCATTTGTCATAATCTTATCTTTTATTTTCTCTGTCACATATTTTAGTATTGCATTTTTTATTTCCATATCTGTTTTTCCATACCTGATTTAATTCAACAATACTACTTGGTGGCCCAATATCTGGTATAACTGTTCAAAATCATTACTGCTATATCTCAAAGTTAATATTATTAATTAAATTCACATAGTTATTTACTAAAAGCATTTTTCAGTTTTAAAGTGCAATGCATACTTATCAGTTTAGCTTCTTACTGCATAAACTTTTAAATGTATTTATCTTTTAAACTCACTCTAACGCATTCTTTAACATTTACCTAGCTTCTATGATTTTCATCTGAATCACTGTACTTTACTACAAATAAATGATATAGCTGACTTTGAGAAATACATTTTTATTGCCCTTAAATACAAACAAATTCTCTAAAGTCAATTATTTCTTCAAATTGTTACTGCTTTTTTACTTTTTATCTTATCTGTTCAATATGCCTATATTGTAAGTATTTTTTAAACATCTAATTTTATCTATGAAACAGTGGACTTATTTTTTCTATTTCTATTTTATTCTTTTTCCTTTCCGTAATTTA